GAGCAAGAATACGTTGTGTTGGAAACCTTTAAAAACTATGGAGCATTCAAATTTGACGTGACTGTCTACAAAACAGCATAAGCTTAAATACTGAACCCTGGAATTCCAAGCTATGAATTCAGAGCAAAACTACTCATTGCACAAAATATTATATTTACGTCCGTGGCGCTATTTTCCAAACAAATACTCAATGTTTATGAGTAAAACAAAGCATGGCATGTCAAGTAGGGTGGATTATGGAATGTTTGTTACCTACCTTGATTATATAAGGATTTCATATCTGCATTGTTTAAAGATGCTATATTGTAACCATATTTAAGTAATTCAAAGGTGGCTTGTACTGAGAATCAGGTGGATTGAAATAGCTGCACGACTTGATGTTACTTACCTCTACCTTTGGTAATTTTGATAAGCCTTAAAATATGTAGAAAGATCCCCGTTAAATGGGAGGGACCAGGTGAACTTGCAATTTTTGAGAATAATATTTTAGGTAAAGCATGTACGTTCACGGTCAAGTAGGTTTAAAATTTATTAGTCTTGGAACCTAAGCAGAAATTAACCATACTATACATAAAAATTACGTCCGAAATGCATTACTGATCTTGGTCCAAAATCTTTGGATTAAATAAATTGATCGGATTGATTTGAACATGTTGTATAACCTTTTGCTTTTCCTGTTAAAATCAGGTTTTTGAGCGCTCTTACGTTTCATATTCAAGTCTGGTTTCACCTATTTCAATTACAAAAAGGTCATTCAACTTTAATGTGTCAATCTAAAAAAGATACCTATAGCGCAAAGATGCACCGGTAGTATGCCACGACATGTTCAAATCTTACGTATGTAGGTATTTGAGTTAAAGGCAAAAGCAATTGGTGTCACCACGGATAAACCTTTTCACCGCAGTGACTCACGCGTGTGACGTTGCACGATAAACAACCTTAACCGTTTGTTTTACTGTTTCTTGTTTTATATTTACGCTATACCCCGATAACAGAGTTCAAAATCAAGTCATTTTAATTTCATCGTCCTTTGTTATTGTGATTGGGAAAGTAAATTGTCTTATCAACTGAATTGTTCGCGTACAATAAATTCACTTGCAAATAAAGCCTCTTTTTCGCTGTCGATAACATTTATGGACAACTAGCGGCCCGCCCCCGCTTCGCACGGGTCCAACTATCTCGCTATCAAAGGGTCACTTTTTCCCAATTTTCCCCTCTACTTTTCTAATATTTTCTTTGATAAAAACCTTCTCCTGATAATAACAAACATAACAAAAAAAGAATTAGCAAAATTGGTCCAGGCGTTGTTGAGTTATGCGCTTACCAACACATTTTGCGATCCATTTTTGTATATAAGATTATTCGTACAATGTTAGAATCTTCATCAATTCACTACTGCTAGTAACCTATTTATCCATAATTTTGTTTAACACTAATCTTCTTGCCTAGTAGAGCACACAGCGCCTAAATACTGTGGAATGCGTGATGTCACAAATCAAACACGATGACTTAAAGCAAACTTGTTCAACGGCGAATTTACACAATGAACTAGCCAAACAACCGGTTCGATCAAACCAAATAACTTTCGCATCGCACTGAAAGTGTAAAATTATCATAAATCGATTACATTTCTAATTAAACTCACGATAATTCCTTATACAATAGATCACCAGATCATGAAATCGTTATTGAAAAACTACCATAACATTTCTAGTATTTAGATTCTTTATTATTTTGATAACTATCAAATCGAAATAATATTACATTTAGAATAAGGACAGAAACATTTTGAAAGCGTAAAAGAATTGCATAATAAATATGCGAGTCCATTTAATTGTCAGCGCTACGGAATCAGTTACAGTAATTAGTGATATAATGGCAGGAAATATTGCCATAACCCGTTAACAATGCTAGCCCGGGCAGATAGCAATCTTAATACACGACGTATTAACACACTTTTTGTATTATACACAAAAAGAATCCTTTTTACATCATCCAATTACAAAAACATAGCAAATTTTGATTCCTTCCGGTTTTATACATAAGTTCATGGACTTTACTAAAGCCTTCGATACACACGTGACCGTTTCAAACCGAATCTATAATCGATTATATACACGAGTTTTCTCTCTAATTAAAGGAATTCCCCAAGGATCTAATTTGGGACCATAAAACTCAATAATTAATTAATTTAACATAGTATTTCTAAAGGATTGCTTTAATTTTTATGGTTTTCAATTGATGCTTTTGTTTAACGATCTTGATATGAGAAGCAACTGTTCAAGAACATAATAATAATTGTGGAGTGTCAAACTCCCATCAAAACGACACTTGATATTGTCCCTGGGCTTGACAATGTCCATCAGTTTTATAGCCTTAATTGTGTGGAATAAAAATGTTGATAACTAACTATTGCAATTATGATTCATACGAAACGTTATGCACGCATGCATAATTATTATTTTTGTTTATCAATACATGCGTCTCATTAGCCGAGATGTCAAGCTCGCGGTCATGGACGTGAACTCCGGCTCAGCAGCATATTTTTTTTGTACCTATAGAAATGCTGAGTTTATGACAAATTATTATTATAACACCACATTTACAACAAGAAAAGTTGATGTACTACTACCTAAAAATTCGGGGACTAACAAACACTATATACTTACTACCATGTAATATTCAATTTATACTAAATTTGTCCTTAATTGTAAGCTTGACTACATACTAAAAAAAAAATCCCTATTATAAAATATCTACGTAATATAAGTCTAGACGAGTTAGTCACCGTTCATTTTTGTTGTCACCAGTTGTTTCAATTGGTATCATGACATCTAACCATCATTCCTGGTTATAAATGACTCACATATGTCCTCCTTTGCATTCATCTGTATACCATGAACATGATTTTGACCTAAATTTATCAGATTGATTTAAATGACTAACAGTTAGAAACGTACTAGTTCATCTTGCTCTTTATTTTTAATGCGATGACTATTGACTACAATTTCGAATATGACTGTGATGATAGAGCTTAGAATGCCTGGCTATGGTTGTTGGCGATTTATTTGACTGTAGCAAGAAACAGTTGCCCTGTTATAGCATACTATTTTAAGATGAGCAGAAGCATCTCTGCAGATAAAACTAAAACAATGTTTATTGAAATAGAAACCATTTCGCAAGCTGTCAGGGAATGGTTTTCTGTGCTGTGCCCACGTCTATTATTTTCGTTTGATTCTGAAAAATTAACAGATACAACACCAGATTTTAATTTATTAGCTAACAAGAAACAAAAATTATTATTAGCTATAAAGCCTCTTATATTGGTACTGTTATTTAGATAACATCAACGCTTATCTGTTACGAATCTAATAAATTCAAGTAATTATGTTTGATATACATTCTGAGTATTCACATGTGCTAATTCATTCGTATGACTTTTAAATCTTAAGCGGAGGTCCTATTCCGAGAAAGGCCGTGAATCAGACCTTTGGCAGTCAGATTTTTTATATGTTAGTACTTACTAAGATTTTGTTATAAATAGATTTTGGCATTGAAAAACAGTTGTGTGATAAAATTGATATCTTACAAAAACCTAACATTATAATTGGTAAATATTAGGTATATTAAATACTCAGGTTTTTGTGACACGGAAAACGAAATACAAGTTGACAAAAACGTTAGTGAACGGTATATAAATTATTTAGCAGTCAAGAACACATCATAAAGTCGTTTCTTTTAAAACAATTTTCTAACAAAACAAAGTGATCCGAAATATGAGCATTGTATTCGTTAGGCTACAACCGTGTCGTATAACAAATAGGCTGTTGCTAATTGATGCAAAAAGTAAAGGTCACATCTGTCAACATTTCCGTTGAAACATGCAGAGCGAATTAACACAAACTTTCCAAAAAACGATGCTAGCGCCAACCGTTACTAAATATAGAAACTGTAGCTCATTTTTATTGTAAACTTTAGTGCATTAAGATAAAGTTGATAATGTTGACAGTTTAGGGTAGGTGTGCTGGCAATTTGTGTCCGTACTCAAATGAGGTCTCAGTTCAATAACATCCAACTACGAATCTCGATCGACGCGTGCTGAAAACAAAATTAAATGCTTTAAACAAATGACCTTGTGTTGTTAACCTTCAAGAGAACAAGGCCAAAAATCTAGGTCTTCAGCTCGTTGATGATTCAAAAATAGTTGCCCAAAATGAAAAATAATTTATGTTTTTATTAGAACTTTCGTCTGCGGGAACATAAAGAATGCGAGTGTAAATCTTATTAACTATGCCATTGGTGCATGATAAGTTACTAAAGCAACACAAACGCTTCCAGTAGTTATTGATAAAGAAATAATAATGCTATGATTTCCTATACATTAACAATTTCCATTAGTTATGCCAAGAGTCAACAGAATGTAAACATTTATAGATTCAAGAGCACCAAGAATTTTAAATCCTATTCATATTTCCGAAGCTAAAAGAATGCTGTCTCATATGCTAAAAATATTAGTTTCTTTATTTACTCATTGAAAATAACGACTTACGTGGTTTAGTTGCGAAAAGTTCTACAAATTGCAAGTCATCATCATCAGTCTTCGCGATGCAATTAGTAGAGCTTTTCTTCTCACTTAATTCTTCTACTAGTTACTATTTGAAAATGTGTTACTTTTGATTTTATAGCTTTTTTGAAATTCCCCTTAGATCATAACCAGCATCATTGGTTATAAACGTTTCATCTTTTTTCCTTACAACATATTTCTCTTCATTGTTATTGTTATGAGAATATTTGCCAACTCCAACTGTTATATTGTTAGTAACAGCGCCATTTTCGTCTATATTTGCCTAATGTTTCATTACAGACTAGTAAAGTTCAATGGTCGATGTGTGATCGATTTTGGAGTCTATTTATAGGAACGTTAGCCCTTATATTCCAATCGATGAAAAGTAGTAAAACCATACTTTCTCAAAACTAAAGACATTATCTTTTCTTTCCAGTACGACAAAGACAAAGATGGACGAATCTCCTACGTGGAACTCAAAGAGATTATTAACTCCGTGGAATACCAACATGACCTGCCGGACAATGTGGTGGACAAGATTATGGATCTGGCAGACAGAGACAATTCAGGGTACCTAGACTTCAACGAATTCGTCGCGATGATGCAGAATCCAGACTTGAAAGCAGTATTTGGACACTTTGTAGCAAGATACGTGCACTCTATCATACCCCACCGAGGACCAGTAGATACTACAGGTATTTTTTTACTTGGAAGCACATTGTTTCGATTTTACTTGAATAAGTTCTAGCAACTTAGTTGGTTTTTTGGATAATTCTTCCACAGTGTGCAGTCGAGAGTTTATCAGACGTTTCAATTATGTTCCGACATCTTTTTTGTAAATTCTGGTTTGCTCTCGTCTATAACTGTTACGAAGAAATTGTCTATCGATCCAGTCTATGTTGGCAGAAACTTCCGTGTATGGTAAATGTTCAAGTTAATGCCAATATAGTGGATCTTGATACCTATTTTAAACGTACGTGTAACTGGATGTCACATTAGGAGTCACAGTAGCTTGTCTTCTTCTTGAAATGCACTTGGGTCAATTTCACGTTCATTTTTGGCAGCTGCACTGCACAATATGGAAACTTTTTCCTGTGTTGTTAATCGATTTTCTGCCGTAGTCAAATATTTTTCGAAGGCTAAATATCATTAAGTAAAATATTCCTTATATCGGCAGATTCCAGTATTTTCTCAAATGAAATGTGTTAATTTTATCAACATGTTTTAGTGGTACATACTTTAATATAAACACTAAACATTGAACGTGTTATATCACTATATATCGTAAATTGTTTGTTTTATCAATTCACATTATCAACGATGGACTTTGGGGCACACAAAGAGACTTTATTTTCAATGACCAGTCCTCAGTCTTGCAGGCCCCCGACCCGTTGCACCCAGGCCCCTTACCTAGCCCGGCCCTGGCCAAGCAATTGTTATTCTGGTTACACCTGCGTTGCACGCTGCATGTAAATAAATCACGTAGTAAACAGTTCACACGTTAATTAGTGCAAGTAATTAATTAATTGGTGTTGTTATCACATCCATGTTTAGATTTTCTATACATGTGTTGGAAATTTAACACCTGTATAACACGTGTCTTTTATTATGATTGTTTAAACTACACTATCAACGTGTGAACTGTTTTATGAATAGAGCTACAGTTGATTTTCTTAGCGGAATGTGAAATAGAAGCTTGGATAGATAATGGCTTTTAGTTTCGTGAGGTTTATTGTACAGACATGTAAATATTTGTGTAATTTATTATCAGTATAATGTACCAGCTGTTTGGACGTGTTATTAATAAATATCTGTATGCGGTGTGGCGCTACAAATATCTAGTTGGCTGAGGCAAACGATTTTTTGAATATTTGTTTCAATATATTTTACTAAAAACAACTTTAGGTCAATGAGTAATCTAATATCTAAAATAGAAGATAGATCTAAACAATTATTCAAAACATGGGGTATATTTTCTTATTCGTTTGCCTATAGCCACATTAATCAATGGTAGCTTCGCAAAAATAGTAAATATTATCAGTTTACCAGTCTATACCACTTTTAAAAGGGCGCGAAACATGACAGCTTTCCAATTATGAAAATGACAGGATTTAGAAAATAACATAGACAATATCTACGCGTTTGGTTTTTAACGTGGAAATATTTATTTTGTTATACATGCATTGATTGTATTGCATCTCTAGGTATCTAACTAAACTAACTAATATTATTGTGAATGTATTATATATTTTAAGTTTAACAACTAACTTTGTTCGGTAGGAACGTGGACAGGTTTCCGGCCAGTTACCAGAAGTGATGGCGGTACTTTTTGTTTCCTTTTTTTTATCTGTTCCATCTGTCATTTGGCTTGATTTTTTAAATATACATGCTGTTCGAAATTTAAATCATGTACTTACGAACATTATTTTGACTGTGATTAGTTTTTTTACAGTATGTATATTTAAAATAAATTCACAGCAAAGGGGTTTGCTAGTGAATATCAAAATTGGTTAATCGCATCAAAATTCATTCCAAATCATTGTTTTCATAATAATGTGATCGTCATTCGTTTGAAATCATATACTCGTATATCGTCTTGATAAGAGAGAAACACATAGTTCAGATACAATGGGACATCATACCTACTAAAAGGATTGTCTGATTACTGTTGTTATCCTTAATTGTTCAGTTATCTTCAACTATGTTATAGATAAATTGGTATTACGTTCCTTTTAAAGAAAATACATTATGCAAATGTATAGTTCTACTCTCGGACACGACTGCACTGCACCGACTCGGATAATACATCAACTGAGATTTTTTTGAAAATTCATATTTCGAATTCGACACAGAACAAGCGACGCGCCGTTTGTCATAATTATCGGCCAGCAAGTTTAAAATCACGCGTGTGTGAATTGGCACCTCAGTTTTTTTTTGTACCTAAGTGTTAAAAGTAACGAATTCTAGAATACTAATCGATCAAAACTGTCTCTATAGACCGGTTTTAATAAATGTATTAAGCATATCTATACAAGGAAGTTGTAGTAGCCCGGAGGTTAAGGCTCCGCATTACATTCAATAGGGGACGATTTCAAATCCTGTTAAGTATCTATGTGACTGTTTTATATAATTACTAAGTGAATTTAAACAGTGATGGAACTTATCGTGTAGAAACCTGGACTTATAACTCGTAATTATAAGTTTGAAATCACAATCAACCTTGAGTAGTTGTGTTTAATGTTCAAACCTTCTCCATATGAGAATAGGCCTTTGCTCAGCAGTGGGCCCTTATAGGCTGATGATGATGTGTATAAACATAGACGTATTTAGCCATTGCAGTAGGTAGGTATAGACATTTTTTTGAACACTAACAAAAGGCTCTTACGTAACCACACGGATAAGGATGATGGATGTCTTATTATTTTATTTAAAAACAAAATAAAAACGCTTCGTTATTGTTTATTGGTGTTATCGCATAGTACGTGACCGTTCAGCCATGTCATAAACATATGACATGTTTTAATAATACTCAAATAAGCCTTGACACGGATGCACCTAAATAACCAGAATAAAAAATCAATTTACCTCATTTCGTAAATTAGATTTTTTTGGTAATCTTTTATTCATGTCACGTTAAGGAAAATTGTGCGGAATATCCCAGCAGAAAAGATAATCTTGTTATTTTTTTTACAATAATACCTAATTGTAATAAAGATAGTCTGTGTTTTTTTTTTTAATCTGGTACTCTCTCTAATATTTGTTTAAAAATCGAATATACAAATTACACCTTATAGTCACATAGTCCAAAAAGTTTCATCTACGTCTAGCCAGCCAGTTCTGTAAGAATCGATCGAATTTCACGTAAAGGAAAAACCATAACTTGAAGCCGTTTGCTGTTGAAGGAAGTGTACAATCAAACCAAACTACCATTTACTTCAAAGGGGGGTTGGTGGAATACATATTGTATTAACGATTGTGGGATTACCGACCATGAAGTCTTGATTACAGGGCCGAACTGTTTTGATTTTAGGTCCCTAAATCTCAATATACATTTTGTAATAGGATCATATAATTAAACATTGGCTATCATATACTATTTTATTATGTTGTTATACTCAAAATTGCAATGCCAACCTTTCTATACTGGGATGTAATACTCATACCTACCTACGTCAAAAATATATTAATACTAGCTTCCGCCACCGTAACAGTAATGCATTCCGTGATTTTAAAAACAGCAGCGTTTAAGGCGATAGCTAAACTAAAATACGCAAATCAAGTATCATTAAGCCTATAGCACTTAGGAACATTGTAGCTCAGTAAAATAATTTTGGAAATCCGACCAGCGGTTCCAAATATTAACCCACTAGCTACTCTCGCGCGGTTTCACCCACTGCTCGGCTCCATTTTATCGGAGAGTGATGTTTTATAGCCTATAGCACTCAATGAAAGAATTTTGGAAATCCGACCAGTGGTTCTAAAAATTACCCCCTACATACAAATTTGCAAAAATTTGACCTCTTTATAATATCAGTATACATGAATATATTAAATCCTTTTGTTATGTGTATCGTAGGTAACCGACTCATATGCCCTTGACTCATTTCCTATCATAGTCTGATATCGATATTTACATTCCATATCTTTACATATCGCGTTGATAAGTTTTAATGTACCCAATAAACTATACAGGATGCATCGTGAATCATTTAAGAGGTTTCCTTCTTTAGTATTAGTTCTATAGGTGTTTAATTACATGCTCTTAAGTTTTTTTTTTAATTTGCATCCCTTTTGTGAACATTATAAATAGCAATTTTAATCGTAAATTAAAATCTATACGAATATTATAAAGCAGTACAGTTTGTTTGCTTGACCGCGCTAACCTCCAAAACTACTTATATCTACGAATTAGACAGTTGTTTCTGTGTTTGTTACTCCATTTGGCTATAGGCTATAAAATACAACGCTACAATTGTAAGAGCCGAGCAGCTGGTGAATCCGCTAACTATATAAAATTAAATAATTCTTGTACGCCTATCGGAGACATGCATCGCAAAAGGACAAAAAAATATATTTTTTGTCCTTCAAGTGTCATGTAATGTATGATGATTGTAAAGACATCCCGTATAGCATTTGCAGTTCTGTTTCCCTATTATTAACATCTCAGTTTGTATTTAGATAACCCTAAACTAGGCTTTAAGAATATAAGTAACAACGTTCTTATCGAATCAATTTATCTATATAATATGTATGTACCAAGTTTATTCACGATAATGTCGAATTTCACCAAATCGGAAGGCGAAATAACGGTAGGTAGGTATTCGTCGGTATGTTTAACAAATATCCGGAAATAATTTTGTTACCGCTATGGAACATGTTTGTTTAACCAAGTGTGTATTGCACACACGCAGGCAGAGCTATGTACATACGGTCGGATATCATTAATTCCAATAAAATAAAACGCATGTTTTCTTACATCCTAGTTAAAGCTGGTCAAAATGAGATTGAGGTTATTATAAAGGCGTAGTAGATGGTAGGTTGGTAGGATTAAGAATTAAATTTGTCAATTAAAATTGTCTTTACGATTTGGGCCCTCGTGACATCACAAAGAAAATACTTTATGAGAAAAACTTAATATCGACGGTGAAGTACCAACACCTCCTAATTTAGGTACATTTCAAAGTCAAAATCATTTATTCCAACTAAACCATAAATAGGTACTTTTGAAACGTTAAAATAGAATAGTAGTCTGTCGGTCTGTTTGTCAGTATAGCTAGGTGCTCGTTCCAACTTGTAGATTCGAATGGAGAAGAACGAGCAAGAAACTCCGTCATTACATTTTTCTATTTAGGACATGCCATAATAATCTTTAGTATTGTTGGGAGGTGATATATTGATGGGAAGTATTAGAATACAATGTGCAATTAAATTTAAACATTAAGGAGAATTCGACCAAACATGCGAAAAGCGCATCTCGTTTAAAAATCTGTCTCTAGAACGATTCAGTTTGTAGGTTGATCGACACCGTCGATGTATAATAGTTATTTTTTTGGCCCCTAAAAGACATCTATTAAGGGGCCCACTCATCCAGAGTCCGGCCCTGGTTAAGTAGCTATAGAAGGCGAGTAACTGGAAATGCTTATTTCCTATACTATTGTCCGCTAATTTTCAAAGTATCTTACTTCCTCTTAAGTTGTTAAGTAATTTTTCTGCAAAAATTCATTATTATGTCAGAATTCCGTAAAAAAAACATATTAATCACTCAATTAGTCATGATAATGTTGCACTCCCGGTCATATCTTATCCTTCGTTTTGTTTCTTATCTCAACCTTGTGAGTTTATGACACCTACGCTCAGCCATTCTGTCTGGAAATTATTATTTTCTTACTAGCTGACCCGGCAAACGAACGTTTAGCCATATAAATTATTTCAAAGAAAAATGTTAACGGTGAACTACCCTTAATATTTCTGTCACTAAGGAGTTTTCTTATGGCTATGCTTTGCTTTATCACTTAGGGGTATGAAAAATAGCCAATAGCCGATTCTCAGATCTACTGAGTAGTATATAAATTTTTTTAAAAATCAGTAAAGCCATTTCGGTGGAGTTACGTTGTGACACGAGAATTTAAAGATATAAAAATGTTCTCTACAATTTTCCTTGTCGATAGTTTTAAGAATGAAATATCGTATCAAGAGAAAAATTGCCGTCATATATTCATTACACAATTATGACGAAATCGATTAACAAAACGAAGCAGGACACTCGATACTAAGATCGATGTACCAGATATAAATTAATTGCAGCACTCCCAAGTCATATTAATTGACACCGCGTTCCATCGTCCGAAGTGACGAGACAATTGAATTATATCGATAAGTGCTCCTTTAAATAATATCGATTCTACCCCGTAGGGACGACGAAAAGGCGTCAGAAGATTATTTGGGACATTCGATCGGACAGTCTAAGAATTGAACGAAGTCCAGAAGTAACTTTTAGGTCATCTGCTGTTACAAGCAGAGGCATACAGACTAACGAAATACGTGGGTAAATGAGTTTTTAATACAATGGTCGGCTGTATGTAGCTCGGGATAGCCGCGTACGTACATTTATTGGGTATTTTGTTTTATTTTTTTATTTTGTAGTTAGATCATTCCTTTTTCAAATGTTATACTATACATACATATAATGTGTATAAAAATGAATCGCAAAATGGGTTAGTTAGCGCATAACCCAACAACGCCTTTACCAATTTTGCCATTTTTTTTTTTGTTGTGTTTGTTATTGTCAGTAGAAGGTTCTTATGAAAGATAATTTTAGTAAA